CATTAAAGAAATAGAATTTTCAGTAAAAAGACCATTTTTTGTTGGCTTCCCAAAAAAGGTTTCACATTGTCATGGTGAAGCATAGTCCAGCACAGTCCAGAATCAATGGTTCAATATATTTTTGGCAGCTGATATCAAGCTGATATCAACTCCAGGGGTTGGTCCTAGGGCTGGTTTTGTTTAACAGCTTCATTCATGGTCTGGATGAGGGGATGGTTTGCACCCAGAGCAAGTTCACAGAGGACACTGAGCTGTGGGGAGAGGTTGACACACTGGAGGAGAGGGTGACAAGGTTCCACAAGGACAAGTGCAGAGTCCTCCACTGAATACGGAGGAATTCTTAGCAGGGCTAAAGGCTGAGGAAAGACTGGCTAAGAAGCAGTTCAGCAGAAATGGACAGGGGGATTACAGTGGATAAGAAGCTGAATATGAGTCAACAGGGTGCCTTTGTAGCCAACGCTAATGGCATATTGGTGTGCCTTATGCTTCGTCTAGACTGCAAGCTTCTTTTGGAATAAAAGCATGCACACAGAAAAAGCTCAAAGAAAAACACAGATTGGATGCTATTTTTTATTTTTAGATCATGCAAGATCTCGTGGTTAAGCCAAGGCGGTCTTTTGCCATATTTTCTATTTTTCCGACACAGCGGAATAGCTTGCTTTTTGGCCCAATAGCTTGAGATGCGTGCTTAGAGGGACCCCTCTGGCTCTCATTTTTTGAGGCATACAGGATCTGTCAGAAAAGGGTTTATTGTTGATAGATATGCATCTAGACTGCCTTTTTTCCGAAAAAAGTCAGTGTAAAATAAAGCAGTGGCCATGTTTATGCTAATGAAGCATGGGATATTTAAATCCCTGCTTCATTAGCAATTTTGATGTGCCTAATCTACATGTGTCTTGTCGACAGAGAGGTGTAGTCTAGAGGTGTAGTCTAGACACAGCCTTAGACAACTCCATGTCAGAAACAATAGGCTTGCTTGTACCATCAAGGAAAGAAAATACAAGTAGATGGTGTGAGTTCGGACGCCATATCATTCATAGTGATGTTATTATTATGTGATTATAACATAATTACACATTTTATGCAAGATGGGTCATGTGAGGTGTCACTGGAGAAGTTGTGTTGTACTGAACATGATTATCCTATTTGTATGTATCATTTTTATCTCAAGCTCTGAATATTGACTCTGTATTTGTATTTCCAAAGTAACTGCACGTAGGTAACTCCCACAAGGGAAAGTGCTTTCAATCAACTCAAGAGTTTGGGAATGGCTTTCAGTCAACTCAAGAGTTTGGGAATTCAGAGTAACGAGCCATTAGGGAAAATCAGAAGCTTATCTGCCACCCGCTGAGTCTTCCTGAGAATGCCTCAGAGAGCCTGTGATTCTGTGGTTGTTATAGACTCTATGGGTGACCAGAGTGCGTGTCTGGACTCCATCTTGGGAAGTCTGTGTTTTTCCATAAACAGTTCTGGGAATACAGGTTTGAAACAAAAAGCTCTATAAGGCAGGGAGTGATCTCTCCTGTCCCTCTCCACTCCCCACACAAGAGGACTCCTGGAAAGACCTAAGGAATAAAGACTGGGGGATATGCTGGACCCAGGCTAAAGTAATTTCTAGCTCATGTATTTGAGCCTGAGAAATGAAAGCTGCAAAGCAAATGTGGCTATTGCCTTGAGAATCTGCCAGAGGGCTGGTATCATCAGTCAGGGTGCTCGTTTCTACTCAGTCTCGCCATTATGTTGTGCTTCTTTTGTTGTTTGTTTGTTTAGTTGCTGGTAATCAGCTTTGCTCTCTTTGCTCTCAGTTATAATAATTTCAACTCTTATTTTTTGTAAAAAAAAAACTTGAACAAGTGTCTAGGCCTTGGACAAGTATGCATATCACTCTCCGTATCGTAGGATAGGTGAACCGGGTTACACGTTCATACTGATTGGTGTTTCAACCAGGGCAGGGCAGTAGATAGCTGAGGATCTAGCACAAAAGCAGACAAACCTTGACCTGGCTCATATTTCTTCCTTTTGCTTTACCCCTAAATGTCCTCTAAGAGCCCAGTAAGCAATGGACGTGTGAGTGATGCTACCAGACAGTACTGATCTCCTGTGGCCTGGGAAATTCTCTGGTTCGGAACCAGTCAGGTCCCAAAGATGCCGGACAAGAGAGGTTCTCCTTGTGGTAGAAGAGAGAGGGAAATCCAATGGAAGCACTATCATCTTATGGTAGAACATCTGAAGGAAGGGCTAAGGAGTGAGTGAAGCTGGCAAGGGATGATGAGTGAGAAGGGAAAAGGCACCACCATTGAAATGAAATAATCTGAAAGAAAATGATTGTTTGTTCAATCCATGGAGAAAGTGTAGGAACATAGATGGGCTTGAACAAAACATGGCTAAGAAAGAGCAATCTCTCCGATTTAGAACATAAAAACCAACCATATCACGAGACCAAATGTCCATCCTGCCCAGTATCCTGTCTTCTGACAGTGACCAAAGCCAGCTGCTTCATACGGAAAGAAGAGAACAAGGGTGTATCTAAACTACATGGCTCCATCGATGGAGCCATGTAGATTAGATTGATCGGCAGAGGGAAATGAAGCTGCGATTTAATTAATCGCGGCTTCATTTAAATTTAAATGGCTGCAGCGCTCGCCCGACCAGCTGATGATCAGATGTTTGTCGGCAGATCGGGGCAGTCTAGACGCGCTGCAATCAACAAGGAAGCCTTTGTTGACCAGCGCTGGTAACCCTAGTTTTACGAGGCATACCTGCGCCAGTTCACAAAGGCTTCGTTGTTGACCTCAGCACATCCAGACTGCCCCGATCTGCTGGCGAACAGCTGATCATCAGCTGGTCAGCAGAGTGCAGCAGCCATTTAAATTTAAATGAAGCTGCGATTAATTAAATCACAGCTTCATTTCCCTCTGCCGATCAGTCTAATCTACATGGCTCCATCGATGGAGCCATGTAGTTTAGACACACCCCAAGAAGCAATCAAATTACCTATTTTCTATGACCTTTTCTCATATTCCGACACACAGTGACTAGGAACACTATCCCTGCCCATCCTGATTAATAGACTTTGATGGACCTAACCTCCATGAAGTTATTTAGTTCATTGACTCATATTGTGTGTGTTTTATTTTTAACAGAGTGAGTTTTATTGCTCACAAACATTTTGGAAATCAAATCATGGTCTCTCTTCTATGTGTTTTTATAGATTTCCATTTTTCTTTCATAACATTTATCATTGTACCATTACACAACATACCAGTATCAATGCACCATTGCCACTGCTGACGTAGAGACAGTTTACATGGGTGAACAATGAATCAGAGGGTGAAGAGATCAGACGGCAGAATATGGAAAGAAGCGTGTGGGGAGAAAGCACGGCTCTAATACCTTTTTTATAACAGCAAGGATCTGCTATTTCTATTTATATATGTTTGTATTTTATTGATCTCGACATTGGAAGAAATAAAGAGTCTCTTTTTGTGTCTCTATCAGTATTTTTATCTTATTCTGTACTTATAAATCTCCCCGTTTTTTTCTCCAGTTTTTCATTGGATGCGCAATCAATCTTCTGGGGTTTTATTTAGCAGGTCTAGTGAAGACCTGCTAAATTGAACTTAGGGGTTGCCCCCATCAGCACTTGTACTCCTGCTCTTTGTGAGAGTAAGGGAAGCCAACAGGAGCATTTGCTGTGTGGATGGTGATTTGACTCAGTTATACAATTAATGTACAAAAGCAGGGGGGAGTTGAGTTAGTCTGTAACTGGAAAATCTTTTAAAAATAGCAGCACCTTAAAGACTAATAAAACATGCAGATGGTATCACAAGCTTTCACCGGTGTAACCCACTTCTTCAAATGAATGGAGAAATAAAAGTCAAGTTCCAAAACAAATAGTGGTTGGGGGGGGGAGGGGAAGGGGAAAAATAGTAGTGAATTAGAGTGCTCATGTTACGTGAAGCCAATAGAGAAGGTGCAAATTGCTCTTAAGTACCCATTATTGGGTGGGTAAGTCCTTAGGATGTGGAAGGTAGGGTGCTAGCCAGGTGATGTCTTTGTTTGTACCTTTGAGATGGGTCCCAAACTTGTAAATGAAGTTAAGTTCCAAAACTTCCCTGTGTATTTGGCTTGTGGAATTGGCTTGAAACAACATGGTGACCTTGAGATCCATGTCTGTGAGCCCATGCAGGTTAATGTGTTCTCCAGCAGGTTTCAGTGTGTTGCCTTTTTGGATATCTGATTTGTATCCATTAATTCTTTCCCATGGAGACTGTCCAGTTTGGCCAATATACAGGGCAGTGAGGCATTGCTACTGGAGTTGCTTATCTTAGGTCAACCTTCCACTCCAGTGCGGACCGGGCATTGAGGAAATACATATGAATCTGGTTCAACTTTTCATGGTATAATTGCAATAAACTAACAGCTCGTGGTGTGTGTTTGGGGGCTTTTTGTGGGTCTCAGCTTCATTTCTCAAATGGTTCACATTTTCTCAGAATCTGTTGGGACAGAGGACAGCTGGAGAGACCTTCATATGAAGCACAGACTCTTTGGTATTTTGGGTATTGCTGCTTGATCCAACCTAGTGCGTGTTGGTGTCTCCAAGCTGGGAATTACACCTTCCGGCTGCAGAGTGGAAGGCTGAACTCTAAATATCTTTCATTTCTAATCTAATCACTTTTGTCAGGTCTTCTACATTTTCCTGATATGATGCTGATATGAGGAAGATGTTTAAAATCCCAAGCTATAAGTCTTTCTTTAAAGTTCAAAAGAGTTTAAGGGAATTAGTTGGGACGTTTCTGTCATTCAGTCAGGTTCCATGCTCTTGGTTCACCTACTTTGGAAGCTCTTAATGATATGAGTCTTCCTCTGTTTATGGACAGCATCATTTTTCCAGTAGAGAGATGCTGTGGTGTGAGGTTTGTGCCAGTGTAGCAGACAACACAATGTGACCATTTGCGCTCCATCAATATTTAATGGTTTTCTGTCTCTAGACACAACTTATGGAGAAAGCAGAAGGAAGAAACCAAACGTCCATCGTGGAATTCATCCTCCTAGGATTTGGGAATGGCCCTGAACTGCAGCCCCTCCTCTTCCTGCTGTTTCTAGTCATCTACATTGTGACGGTGGCTGGCAACATGCTATTTGTTGCACTAGTGGTGGCTGATCAGCATCTTCACACCCCCATGTACTTCTTCCTGGGGAACTTGTCCTGCTTGGAGATCTGCTACACTTCAGCCACCCTGCCCCGGCTGCTGGCCAGTCTCCTGACTGGTGACAGAACCATCTCTGTCCAGGGCTGCCTGGTGCAATTGTATTTCTTTGGTGTCATGACAAATACAGAAAATCTCCTGCTCACGGCCATGTCTTACGATCGGTACCTAGCGATCTGCCACCCCCTGCGTTACACTGTTCTGATGACTGGCCGGGTTTGTTGCCTGCTAGTGGCAGGGGGCTGGATAAGTAGCCTACTGAGCAGCACCATAGTACAGATTTACTTGTGGCAATTCACGTTTTGTGATTCCAAAGAAATCGACCATTTCTTCTGTGATTTTTCACCCATTTTAAATTTGTCCTGTAGCGACACCCAGACTCTAGAATTGGTGACATTTGTTCTTGCTGTCATAGGCACGTTTCTTCCCTTTCTCCTGACTCTGACATCCTATATTTGTATAATCATCAATGTCCTGAGAAACCCTTCCAACACTGGGAGGAAAAAGGCCTTTTCCACCTGCTCCTCTCACCTCATTGTGCTTGCAATTTTGTACGTGACTGTGTTAACTGTCTATGTGGTTCCAATACCCGACAGTCACAAGGTCCTACAGAAGATATTCTCTGTCTTCTACACAGTCCTGACTCCCATTATCAACCCTCTTGTCTACAGCCTGAGAAACAAGGAGGTCAAAGAGTCCCTGAGCAAAGCTATTCTGAAACTAGCAGCTTACAGGAACAGACACAGAATGTGAGAGGACAAATGTTAGCCCAGAGTAAGGTAGAGATGAATTGATATACATTCTTACACTTAGCCCATTTGAGTTATTGAGAAAATGATTAGCCCTTCCCTCCTTCCTTCCTTCTGGATCTTAACATCTTTTGAGTTGTTCAGATTCTTCTGCAGTCTCCCTGAATCCAACAATATTCATTCTCCACTGATTAATACTCTCTGTGTTGTGTCCACACTGTCCTTTGACCGGGCAACATTTTATGTATATTTGGGAAAACAAACAAACAAAAATTAAAGTCTTTAGAGGTATGGTGTTTACAGTGCCCTACTATGTGAAATTTCCTGCCCTTTCATACCTTTTGCAGGGTTAACAAAACAAAGAAATGTATATACTCTTACAGATATGGATATGTAAAATGCAAATATAAGACGTAAGGCCACAATTTTCAAGGCTCATTAGACCCAACTTGCCTCCCTACCCAAATGAAAAAGAAATGAGTGAATTAAAACAAGCAGGAAATGAGGACCCAAAACCACTAGCCGACTTGGCAAATCTCAGCCAACATATTGCTCCACGGGGCTTCCTTGCCCGAGGAAGAAATACTCTAGGGTTACATCTAGACTACATCCCTTTTTCGTAAAAGGGATGTAAATTTGACGTATCGCAATTGCTAATGAAGCGGGGATTTAAATCTCCCCTGCTTCATTAGCATAAAAATGGCTGCTGCTTTTTTTCCGCACAGAGCTTTGTCAGAAAAAAGCGCCAGTCTAGACGCTGATCTTGTGGAAAATAAAGCCTTTTCCGAAAGATCCCTTATCCCTCTATGAAATAAGGGATAAGGGATCTTTCGGAAAAGGCTTTATTTTCCGCAAGATCAGCGTCTAGAGTGGCGCTTTTTTATGACAAAGCTCCGTGCGGAAAAAAAGCAATTGCGATACGTCTAATTTACATCCCTTTTACGAAAAAGGGATGTAGTCTAGACGTAGCCTATATGCATAAAAATGTTTCGCACTAGTTTGATGAAAAATTGAATTAAAGAATAAAAGCTCATGGTGTCTCCCTGGAATTTTTGTTCTTCTAACCCATTTTTTAGCCTCGTTTTTCTCCAAAATATATTCCCATTCTCCTGGTTGCCTTGATTCTCTAGGTTAGGTGCCAACTACTTCCCTGACCAACCATCCCCACCCTGCAGCTGTTCACTGAAGCAGTGCCATGTGGGTGCCTACACAGAGGTATGTATCATTTGTGGACTCATGGAAGCCCAAAATGAGTACGAAATGTGTCCCAAATGAGCATCCATTAAAACTTGCCCAGCCAGGGGTGGACAATAGTGTTTGATGTGGGGCACTCTAAGAATTTGGAAACTGGTCAGGGGCCACGCTCTTTAATAATATTGATAGAAGAGGTGCAGGGTCTGGGACGAAAGTTGTGTGCAGAAGGGAGATTGTGGTAAGTGATTGGGGTCCAGGAATGTGTGGGGTATGGGGCAGAGTCTGATGAGATCGTATTATCATAGAACACTAGAACTGGAAGAATAGTAATAGAGATGTAGCTGTGTTAATCTGATCTTGCTGAAATAAAAACAGGACTATGCAGCACTTTAAAGACTAACAAGATGGTTTATTAGGCAAGGAGCTTTTGTGGGCCAGACCCACGAACTGGAAGGGACTTTGAGAGGTCATTGAGTCCAGTCCCTTGCCCTCACAGCAGGACCGAGCACCATCTAGACCATCCCTGATAGCTATCTATCTAATCTGCTCTTAAAGGTCGGGCTTTTCTTTCACAGAACTGCCAGAGAATTGAAAAATCAGGGGTTCACTGATCTCTAATTGCCATCTTCTGCCACAGAGCAGCAGGCAAGACCGAAATACACCCTGAATGGGTTCTCCATCAAGGGCTGGGTGTGGTCAAGGCACAGGTGTGAGAATCAGGACTTTTGATTTTTCTTCCTAGAACTGCCACCTACTGCCAGTAGACAAGAAACTTTATCACAAACTAATTCGTCTTTCTAAGGACCGGGATGTATTGGAAACTGCGTTACAATGACAAGCTCGCACTTGCCCGCCTCTCCGCTTAGGGGACCAGCCTGCCTTGTAGAAACGTGGGGTCTGAAGACTAAGAAACGAACCCACGTTACATGCTGCAAGCTTCAATCCAGTTTTATCACTGGGCACAGGGCTGCTTGGGGGTTTCCGTGGTGACGTCCACCCGATGCCATTCAGGCCTTGGAGTGGTCCCTTTGTTTGTGACTAGCCCAGCTAGCCGGGACACTTTCTGTCTCCTCTCTTCTGGGGTTAAACAAAGAGTCCAACAAAGGAACAGAAATTCTTCAAACCCTCCCCCCTCTGCCCCCAACTCTCAAACCCCTCAGGGACCCCCCCTTACCCCACTCCCAATAGAGGCCTGGACCTCCAAGCTGTGAGAGGCAGGAAGCACCCTTTGTTTGTGACTAGCCCAGCTAGCCGGGACACTTTCTGTCTCCTCTCTTCTGGGGTTAAACAAAGAGTCCAACAAAGGAACAGAAATTCTTCAAACCCTCCCCCCTCTGCCCCCAACTCTCAAACCCCTCAGGGACCCCCCCTTACCCCACTCCCAATAGAGGCCTGGACCTCCAAGCTGTGAGAGGCAGGAAGCAGCCTCCTGAGCCACCCGCCATGGCAGACCTGCTGGCTGGGCGGGGGGGG